TGGATTTTTTTGGTGGATACTCGAAGAATGTCTTTCTTTGAACTGAAATTTCTAACTTTCAGTATTTTAAAAGGTCCCTAGAGGCAGGTGCAAAGGAAAATTACTAATTAGGTACACGGGTCTGAATAGAAGGTTATTGTTACAATAATGTTGTCAAAGTAGAAAAACATATGTAGCTGTTAAATATTGTGGTATTATCTATGGGTATTGTAGCTAGATGAACATGACTATTTCTCATCAATATATGTGTTGTTACATGGTTTAGTCATAATTTTCATCTTTCAAGCTTAAACTTTCCAAGCTTTATATGTTCCTGAAGATACGTTTTAAAAACAAAGTTTTGTTGGATTGAGAGGATGGTGAAAGCTGTGATGGGCAGTGATTGTTTTTTCCTATGTTAGTAAACTCTTGAAACTTGGCATAGTCTGGTGAAAATCTGTTTTGATTTATCAACCCTTGAGAATTTCACTCTATATACATATGGAGTCAACTTTTTCATGAACCTTGTTGCAAAGGTGATACAGTAGACAGCGAAGGCAAGCTACATTGTGCATGATATTACATCACTGGATTAACTATTCATCCTTTAGTTCCCTGATCTAAAACAATTTCCAGGTATTTTGGTGACATGACCAATAAATGGGGTCATCAGCTTACTGTTCCATTTTTTGCTACCAAAATACCTACGTCGCTTAATATTTGGGGCATGTCCATGGGAGTTGAGGGAAGATGGGGGGCTCAAAAGACTGCTAATGGGTTTGCAGAAGACTTCTAAATCATGATTGCTAGGGTCTTCAATAACAAGGGGGTTTGTAGGGATGTGAACTTAAAAGCAACCAAAAAACCCCCAAACCACACCCAGACAATGTTAAGGGGTTTGCTTTCCCATTGTTTAAGTTCAGAAGGGACTTTTAGATGAGACCAAGAGCAATATCTCTTCAGTCCCCTTCCTCTCAGTGCACATGCTCATATGCTGACTCTTCAGTTTCAGGTTTGCTGTTGTGGTTATTCTAGTAAACACTTTTGCAGGGCCTTGGGAAGTAAGTATGCGTGTGCATCAACAGAACAGTGCCTCGATGCTGCTCTTATGTTAGCAAGAGATAGGCATCAATGCTTTCTATCCATAGTTTGATCCTATGAACAACGTAAAGTTGAAAATTAGACATTTATTTTTCAGCTGTATTAATAAATGTTAACTTTTACAATACTAGGGCCAGCGTCATAAAATGAAAATGAGACTTTTTTAAATTGATGGTGCCCCTTTGAAGTAGTAAGTGCCTATTTAACAACGTGAAGAGCTCTGTTATCTCGAAAACATCTTTCTCACCAACAGAAGAAGTTGGTCCAATAAAAGATACTATCTCATCCGCCTTGTCTCATGTTTTAACAACTGACCTTTCAATGTACAGTAAAAGGTGACATTTATCAAGAATTAGGAGTTAAGGGAACAGTGGAGGCAGTGCATTTAAAAAACCCCTAAAAATCTTTTATTGATTTTTTTTTTTATGCATCTTTTTTCATGTCACAAATCTCTCTGGTAACTTCTTTGATTGAACTATGGAAATATCTTAATGCTCCACAAATTCTGAAATGCAGATTAGATGTAAACTAATTCTCAAATACTTCAGTGATGTAAGGTCAAAAGGCTGATTATTTTCCACAAGTATCAAGAGATTCACATTTGTCTGACCCATTTAGTGGTTTTTTAGGGAAAAGAAATCAGAAAATTCCATAAGGATGTTAAATTTCATGGACAAAAAGTTATCAGTGGTCCTGTTGTCTTGCTTTACTGACTTTGAACCATTTTTCATTCAATTTCTTTAATCCCTGTATATGAACAGAGGGCCTACACCTCCAAGTGTGAGACTTCCATGAAACACCAAATATTTTAGAAATCTTGCTTTAAAAAACACACAACTAACCCCCAAAAGTGAAATCTTTAATCAGTTATAGTAGAGGATTACAGGCCAGAGAACCTTCACTTAGGCTCTTCTGATCAAAACTGCTTTCCACCTGAAACTAGAACTCATCTCCTCTCATCCTGAAAACAAAGGACTTATGACCTAATTTTAATTAGGTCATTCAGTCAATCAGGAACTATATATTACCGCTCCTCTCTCATGGGGATTCAAGCCCATTACACAGCAGTCTACTGGCATCCTAATTGTTGGCAGATCTCCAGCTCAGGAGGGGCTAGTGTGTGGGGAACATGCTGCAAAGAGTGAGTTTTGTTAACTACGTGTTAGTTGCGTACGTGAAACTTACGAAAAATGCACATGATACACAAACTGGCCAACAATACTTGATCACTTTTAAAACTGCTACAAACACGTAACAGCTTTCCCATATTACTGTTGCTATTCATTAATTTTTTTTATTTGGATTGCACTAGCACTGAAGGCCCCAGTCAGACTCTGCCCCCCTGGACTAAGAATTCAAATAAAATGATCTCCGCTCCAACGTTTATTTAAATAAAAAAGCTGTTTCTGAGCACTTGTCATCCTGTGGAATGGGAAGGAAAGGTCAGAGAAGCAACCACCTCTTCCTCCTCTAAGGAAAGTGAATTGTGTTCCCCTCCCTCCTTTCCATCCTCTCACCCCTTTAAAAAAAAAAAATTCACATTAAGGGGAATACTATTGGTTGTGCCAGTCGTCAGTGGAACAGCTATCAAGTAACTGGCTGCTGGTCCCTGATTCTCTGCTCCAGCTCTGATGCAGGCTACAGGGCCCTGGGACTACTTTAACTTGCATCCATTGGCTTTAGTTCTCTAAGATGCTAAGCTCAGTGCATTCCCCTTCCCCAGCCTTCCTGCCAAGGGTTGTGGAGAGGGGGAGCATTCAGACAATTCTACTAGTTCTACACCTGCTGGGCACTACCCTACACCCAGGGAATCCGCAGCAGGGAACTTGCAGGTGGCTTCCATGTCTCTTGTTCTTCCTGGGTGGTGCAAAGGGAGCAGAATGGGGCAGAAAATCTGCTCCTAGAATCATTAGGGTGGTGGGGCGAGGAGGAGGTTCAGTGGTTGACTTCACATCAGAATCTTCAGTTGTGGGCTGCAGCTAAGATCTTTGAGTAAGAGTTCCTTTATTCACCATAATATTGGAATTTGACTTCAGGTAAATGGATGGGGAATCCTTGCTATCAACAGACCATTATCTTCTATTAACCTTAGCTCTTATTTTATCGATGGGGAAACAGATGTAGGGTTTAGTGATTTATCGGGGGGATGAAGATTCATGTTGATGATGTAGAGCAGTGTTTCCCAAACTTGGGACTCCGCTTCTGTAGGGAAAGCCCCTGGCAGGCTGGGCCGGTTTGTTTACCTGCCCCGTCCGCAGGTTCCGCCGATCGCGGCTCCCACTGGCCGCGGTTCGCTGCTCCAGGCCAATGGGAGCTGCTGGAAGGCTTTCCCTACACAAGCGGCGTCCCAAGTTTGGGAAACACTGATGTAGAGTGTATTGGGTACAATTCTTGGAGTCAGGGGATATGGGTTCTTCTAATCCTGGTTTTGATACGGACATGCTGCAAGTTGGAGGACACTTATTATATAATTAATAGGTGTGTAGTGAGGTATAAATAAAGGTCTGAAATTCTGTAAATAAAAAAAAGAATGTCAGTGACAGCTGGGAATAGAATTTGGGAATGCCTGGTCCCTCAGCAGGCTAGACTGTGCTGTGTCTGAGAAGGAAGGTAAAAACATCTTTTCCCTTTGCCATTTTAATGGAAGTCTTGCAAAATTGATAATGAAATATTTGAGATTTGCCTGTTAAGCTCTGTTCTCTACTGTCTTCAATGAAGCTGATCATTTTCTCCTCTGCTGTTTCTTTAGGTTTTACAATTCTGTAGTCTTGTTCTGATAAAAAGAACAAAAAGCATAAAGCTTATGCTCTAATAAATTTGTTAGTCTCTAAGGTGCCACAAGTCCTCCTGTTCTTCTTTTTGCGGATACAGACTAACACGGCTGCTACTCTGAAATTGTTCTGATAAGTTATCCACTGCTTCAGTGATTCCTTATCCTTGCCATGCCCCCTATATGTTTGCCCTCAGGGTTCTGTTCCGTCCTTCATCTGCTCCATTATTTCAATTGTTTCTAAATAGATGTTTCCCAAATCAATCTCTCTGCCAAGTCTCTGCCCTCTTTTGCACCTGTCTCTTGGGTATTTCGTGTACACTTCTGATTCTATCTTGCTGTCTCAACTCCTAATCTATCTTCACTATCCCTTCTCTATTAGATCATTGGATGCTTCTTTTACCACCTTCTCAGTTTTCATTTTCAAGGTCCTGCAAAAAATTGTCCCACCTCCATGTCTGTTGCTATTTCTTTCAGCTCTCAGTCCTCGGTTGCTTTCTGCTCCTTTTGTCCATGTCACATTCTTCATGCCCTTCTGTCATGCTCCCCGCCTCTACTTACCTGCCAAGCACCCTCTCCTCTTTCATATGCACCTCTTCAGTAATCCTTTCTGCTGTACCTTTTCCATCCTCTCCATTATTTGAACTGTTGTTCTTTTTTTTTTCTTGACTTTTTTAAATTGTAAATTCTTCATGGCAGGCAATACATCTTGCTCTCTAAAAGGATTGTCTAAACACCGAACCTGATAAAAATCACATGAAAGGATATTCGCTTCACATGCCATTTTTGTAGAACACTGTTCTGTGCAACTTGGTAAATTGAGTAATAAATCTGCCTTTTAAAAGGCTTTAACTTGTGTTGGATTTGAACAAATCCTTTACTTGTTAATGAGCTACTTATAAAGACCAGATTTTTCCTTAAATATATATAGAGATTAGGTACTTGAGACATAGCAGATGTCCTAGAGTAACGAACTAGGTCAATGTCCTGATTAGGAGCCTATTAGTAATCATTTATACTTTCACTAGACATCTTTATGAATTTTTTACAATGCTTGCACTTAATATATGACCCTGTAAAGTAGCTGATATATGATAACAACATATCTCATGCATGCTTTAACCAAAATATTTACCTTTTTTTCTTATAGACAGAAATTGCCAAGAGATTGAATACTATTTGTGCACAAGTTATCCCGTTTTTGTCTCAGGAAGTAAGTAAAACTGTTCAGCTGTTAAAGTGCAATTATGTTGCTTCTCTGTTTGCAAATTAGCTAGTTTTAAGATGTTAATTTTATCACAACGCTCAAGTGTGAGGAACATCTGTTATAGCTGAAGTGTGTAACTCCTCTTAAACCCCCCCACCCCCGCTAATTTGGTCTAACATCTGAGTTTAAACTGAGGAACTGGTGACAATAGCTCAACCTCAAATTAATTCTCTTCGGGAAAAACTATAAAATGACTATAAAACAATTTTTTGTTTTCATCTTTAATGACAATACTAAGTTCTAGTTAATAGTAAAGTGTTAAATTCTGTGTAAATAAAAAAGTTGGCCTTCAATACTAAAATATTCAGATATTATTTTTGGGTAGGTAGGTAACACACAGTTGGTAACTCAAATACAAAATGTTGTTCCAGGGTATAAAAACATTGCTTGACTACAACTGTAGCATATTAAAGACTACTTCTGTTCAGTATTGGAACCAGCTTTGGATTAGACTTTCAAATACTTCATAGTTGCAAAAATGTAGGAAGCTGCCTAGTCTTTTTGTTGATACCTACACTATGTTCATTATATTGGATGCAGGAATTATAAATGACTTGTAAAATGGACACTAGTTTCAAGTTGTTAGAACCTTCTCATCTCAGTTGGAAACTAATGATTTAGTTACTAGAAGATATTCTCTTTAAAAGTTTCCAACATTTAAGTTACCTTTATGACTTTTGCCTCACTCTTAAACAATGAATAACAAATCAAGTACTTTACATCTTAACTGGCATAAGATGGCCTATAATAGATAACCTCGGCTTCTGTCTTACTGTGCAGATTTCTATACAGAAACTATTTCTGTGCATACTGGTCTTGGTTTTAATGTACTGGTGTTTTTATGAGGTGGGAAGAGGAGAAGCTGGCATAGGGGTTCAACAGCTTAATAACACAAATTTAACTTTTTTTTTTTTTTTAAAATAGCATCAGCAGCAAGTGGCCCAAGCAGTAGAACGTGCCAAACAAGTGACCATGGCTGAACTAAATGCCATCATCGGGGTACGTGGCCTTCCAGGTCTACCTCCTACAGTGTGTATAACCAGCTTTCATTTCTTATTGCTTTGGTAGTTTTAAAATAAACCTGATAATTTTTTGATATCTAATTCTGTTTTAATACCTAATATTATTGCTCAAACTTATTTGACTTGGCTCACTCAGATTTTAGAGGAGGTAGAATTAACAGCAGCTTACTTTGTAACAGAATGTCTTTTCATTCCCTGCACCCATATATTATATCAAAACCTTTGCTGCAAGAAAGACCAGGGAGTTTGGGAAAGATTTATTATCTATTGATCATGGGTATTGTGTGCTACTTGATCTAAGTTACCTTTGTTTTGCCTCCTGCTTTTTGTGACATTTGAGTTTTTGGAACCTGTACAACTATTCAGTCTTCTTCCTTTTCCTTTCTTCTGCATCTTTCATGAATTTTAAAGTAGCAGGCTAATGAAAAGAAACTTCTCTTGCTTTTGAAGTAGTATTAATTGTCTGACATAATGTTCTAATAGCCTTTCACCAAGTTTGTGCTTCTAACTATGCTGAAATAAGTTAATACTACTTTCTTGTGACTGGTTGTCATTCACAAGTCATTTGTTTTGCATTAATGAACTCTGTGAACCATGCATTCCTTCCACTGCATGAGTTCATTTCTCCCATCACTAAGTCTAGAATATATCTCATGTTTTCTGCCCTTCCAGACTAAGTGAAAGAAGTAGCCGAAACAAGAAGCCGTCCTTTCTGATTTTATTCATATGTGAGCGCCTTGAGCAGATTCAAATTACTCATTTATCAATTTATGTTAATTGCTTGTGAGAAGATGCCCTGCTGGTCTTTATAGTTCCCTCAGACACTTTGTAATGATAATTAGACATGCTGCTGTACGGATTAACAGTGCCATAGTCCAATGACGTCTACAGACAATGGAACCAGTTAATCCATCTGTGCTTAAAATTACATCCCAACTGGAGATGGAAAAAAAAAAACCCCATAAGAGCGAGGGAGGATTAAAAGAATGAGCCTCAGCTTGAAAACTCTCCTTTCATCAGTTTCTCAATTGCAGATCTGCAGTCGGTTTGCCTGTGGTAAGCTATTGGCAGTCAATTAGGTGAAATAAACTGGGAGGGTGACCTTCATTTCCTTTTAATAGCTTTTTCCTCCCTCAAATGGGGAGGTTCAGTGGATTTTCAGCTTAAATTTTATTCAAGCTGCTTTATTACACTTGACAGATTAGCTTTGCATAAACATACCCCCCCCCCCTTCAAATCGGAACCCTGTTTTTCCCTTTTTTTCAAATTTTGACTGTTACTGAGTTAATTCACTACTCATGTTTAATAAAAGTTACATCTGTATTTGTCTGCAGTCTTCTCTGTGCTTTGCTTGCATAATGAATTGCCTTATTTTGAAGATCAGATCAAATATACATACAAGCATACTGTATGAATAATATTTGATTAGCAAAGATTAATAGCATTGTGTGTTCTTGTTATTTTAAAAGTGTACAATTTCCCTGAGGGCAGATCCTGAATAAAAAGTCCTTTTCATAGTGGACTAAACTTGTAGGACACTTCTTTGCACAGTGTTTAAAAAACAAAAACAAAAAACCCCAACAACATTAAAACATCTTTTTCATTGGACCAAGAAATTATCCTGACAGTGAAGATTTACTGTATAGTAAAACCTGTCTTCCCAAACTCGCTATGAAAGTGTTGTCCCCAGTGGCATTTGCTGAATGTGTACTGTTCAGTTCTGTGCTCTTAGGTCTACAACTACAGCGTACAATTATGACTTTTATCGGCAGGGGTTTTTTTGGAGGTAGGGAGAGGTATGTTAATCTTATGAATAGAAATCTCAGAGTTTTTTAATTTTAAACTACCAATGATCCTTCAGTAGAAGCATTTCCATTTGTTTTATGAAAGAGTACTCAGCAATGCTGTCATAGTTCAGATGTTGTGAATGAAGGAATAAACATGTAGTTAGCACAAATGTATTTTAATTTTCGACGTAGCTCTATGTATTATGCATACCAGAAATCAGATGTATGTCAAAGTGATCTTTTACAGTTTTAGGTGATCAATAATTATCCTGTGCGGCACAATAAGTTTCATGCTCTGACATATGCTTGATTTTGTTTGAAAGGGATTGTGTGCATCCTGGAAAATCAGAGTAGCATAAAATTGGGTTGACAATTCAGTGGACCTTTGCTCCCCTTCATTGAACATGCAGTGTGTCAACCTGTCTCCCCAGAGGGGAGGAGGCATCAGGAGGCTGGCTATTCCTACAATCAGCAGCTGCACTGAAAGTAAACACAGCCCAGTTTGATAGCAGCTGTCAGTATTGTTCAGGGACCCGACTTAGTGTAAAGAACAATAGAGGGGCCATACTCTTAAACTGCAGTGTCTTTCAGGCTAAGAAAAGAAATAGTAATTTAACGGTTTAGACATCTATTATGAGTGTGAAAGATCATGAAAGACTTCTTTAAAATGCAAATAGGCTGAAGCATTCTCCAACAGTATAAGGTACAATCAAGTAGCACTATGGCATCATAGTGCTAAAGATATTTCTGTACCATAAATGTTGGGGATGGGAAGAAAGTTAAGCATTTTCTCAGCAGATGTTCAGTTAGGTGTTCTCCCTGACTTGGTAAAATCTGCATTCTTGGCATTTCTGTCTGAGCACTGATTTTCTTTCCTTCTTTAAAAAAAGGATTGTGATTCCCTGACATGGTATAATGATTCAAAATAACTGTTTCCAAATTCAGTCTTGCCTCATTAATTTAGTTATTAAAGAGTTTGTGTTTCCATTGGGTGCACATATTGGGTTGGGGGAGGAGGGGAAGCAAAACCAAACCTTGTAATTTAGTGGACGCTAAAAAAAATTAGGTCTTTGTAAAAATTAGATCTTTTGTAAAAATCCACACGGTTGAGCAACGTGGTTAAACCGACTTAAGTCTCTTTGTAGGCAGCACTTGGTCGACAGAAGAATTCTTTCATTAACCTAGATATCACCTCTCGGGAGAATCCCTCCCATCAGCCCAGGTAGTGTCTACAGTTGAAGCACTACAGCATCACAGTTGTGACACTGTAGTATTTTAAGTGTAGAGAAGCCTTAAGACTTGTTTCTTGATAGGCCACTTTTAAAATACAAACACACTACTACTTTAGTTACTTGAGAAAATTGAATTTAGAGCAGGACTGCAAGATATTGTGGGGGGAGGAGGGGAATTATCTATCTAATGTAAAGGCAATTTTTAGTCAGTGTATATAAAGAAAGTATATTTAGATTGGAGGAATAATGAGTTGCATTCAGAAACTTTAATGAGTAAAAATAAAATTCAGGTACTGTAACTTCTTTAATTAGATGTTGGAAGATCAATTGTGAGATGTGTGTTCGTGAACACACTCATTCACAGCCCCTTACTAATGGTTACTGAAATGTGTTATTGGGATCGTCTGATTACTTATGTCAAGCCGCTACATGTTAGTTTGGCTGAGCTAAGTATTTTACTTTTCAGCCATTGTACCTGTCTGTACATGTTCAGCCATTGTACATGTCTGTTGTTTTTTGAATTACACCAGTCAGTGTTCATTGTATTACTGGTTTTCACTAAAGTCGATTGAGTGAAGTAGTAGATTTGCGAGATAATTAAATGAAAAGTTTTGATTGTAAAGGATAGGTGCACCTGTTAACTCCTTGGCACCACTGATTTCAGAACTTTGCCTGAAGTCTGTTTGGGGGCTGGGGAGAATCCAGATCATGGCATGAAAGGATTAAGTGGATTATCATGGTAGAACTTGAAGGGATTTTTTTTTTTTTAGATATGATTAAGCAGCAAGCTGGAAAATCAAAGATGCCTATCAGCTCACACCAGGAGGAGCTAAGGGACAGTTATAATTAGTCTATCCCACTGTCAGCAATAATGTAATTTTGCAAGATTTATATATGGGCAACATTAATAAAATCCAGTCATTTATATAAAGTGTACATTCTTAATTTAGAACTACAGATCTGTAAATTGGAAAGGTATTTTAGTATAGAGAATGTAGCATACAGACGTGAATACTTAGTTTGACATTAGTTGCTAATGGTTCTGTGAAATGTATCTTTTTGGATTGACAGTACTTTTCAAGACAGATTGAGTTGTAGACCTCCAAAAGCGCTCTCCACTGTTGCATGAGGTGATTGGCTAAAGGATTAGCAAACTGCTGAATTATTTTTCTCTCCTTGGCTGTGGTTGCCAGCTATCTCTGGGATGGTAGTGTGTGAAGCTTAAGAGGATGAGGTTAACCTCTTGAGGGTTTATTCTTATGAGTGTGTAGTTAATCCTTGGAAAGCCTATAAATAACTAGGCTGTATGTTTTGTTATAAAATAGAAATACAGACTAGAACAGAAATGAATGCAAAATTCTGTGCAAGGGAAGAGCTAAGCAGCTGTAGCATTACTTTAGATCCTTCTCAGCAGTGATCTGTATTTTGTGCCAAGTGATATTTGGGGGGCGGCGGTTTAAGAGCAATAACTTAATAGTTTTCTGTAAAAAGAAAGCTGAGTGCAAGACACTTCATAGTGTACTAGCCTATAAGAAGCAAGCTAAAACCTTGCTGTTCAGATATTTATAGTTTTTAAGTACATACAAAAGTGCATACACAAACTTGCTGTTTTGCCTTAAATTATGTGGGATTTGTTACTGTGTATTTGCATTAGATACAAACCAAGTAATCTGTTTCCTTTTAGTTATCACAGCTGAGGCAAGATTCATCATTTCGACATTTTATTACCTGATTTTTCTGCCCCCTCCCCTCCCCCCCACTGAAGTTGTGAGCACCCATTTCTGGAAAATCATGCCACAAAGCTAATTGCTGTTCTCAAAATACACGTTCTTGCAAGATGGCAACAATTATGTATACTCTCTGTGCTACAGCCCAAGCAATGAGCAACATAAATGCAACACTTTCAAATAATATTTAAAGGTGACTTTTAATAATTGTGTATGTGGTTTTTACGTATAAAGAAGACCTGAAAGGGGGCTTAAATGGTG